ATTGGAATCAGCCCTTTCATCATTACGATAAAGTCGATCTAAAATCCTATTTTCTCGATCCTCCCTATTCGGGCTCATATAAATCTCGATTCACCGAGTTTTTTATTCCTGAAATGCTTCATTCTTTAACTGACCTGTACCCAAAGTGCCTAAAGAAGTTTTACTTTATATTAATAATAAAATCACACGTACACGTACGTACGCGCATCGAGGTTAATATATTCGAAGGCTGATTTATTCGTCCAACTCCCCTGGACGCATCACCTGTGCATAAGCTTATATGCACGCGGCCACATTATCTGCTATATGGATACGGAAAAAAGAGAGTCGCAGAAGGCACCGAGTCCTTATTTGCGTCCCGAGATAATATAAATTTCTTACAAGTGCAATAACGATCACCCGACGCGGCGCGACCCTGCGGCCGTGTAACCTATCAATATCAACGAATGAAAAATCTCCGCGCGCCAAGGTATGTAACCTGACTGCGGTGAAAGCGTATGATCATTATTAATATATTCCGTCTTTCCCGATATTTTTTGTTTCTTCCAATTCTTCTTTATTTTTAATTCATACGTAATGAAATTTAGAGTAAAGCAACTCGTTGACTTTATATGTATACGTCAGATTTGTATCTCTTTTGTGCTGGGCTTTGTGCGCGGAGACTTTATCTCGAGAATATACACAAATGCATCGTGTAACGTGATAATGCCCACTCTCTCTCTCATGAGATTTGCCCTTTATACACGCAACTGCACGCGGCGCGCAGGATGATAAAGCACTCGTACGAGCAATTATTGCATCGTCGCCCCGAAACACAGCCGTGCAGGCTAGTTTTCTTTGTATTCCACTACACGATGTACTGCAATGCTACACGTATAGGTATAGGTATACGTCGCACGTGCAGATTGTGCGTCTGTTTATGTGTATCTTATCAACGGCATTTCAACCTGACGCCTGATATATATCGTACGTGTAGGCATTAAGCCAACAGAGAGACGGAGAGAGCTCGAATACGAAAAATATGAATTATGCTATGGGCAGCTGGGCGCAAGATCGATTGCAATAAAAGCAGCAGGAAAATCATGCGTGTATATGCGCGAGCATCGAACACGTTTTCGAGAAGCCGCATGACTCGCCGTGAGTCGCGCGCGCGCGAGGATCAGCAGAAAATCATACTTGCGCGATTGAAAAAAAAAAAACCCGGCGGAATAAAGAATCAACGCGTACACGCGCGTAATGTAAATTCGTCGAGATATACAATAATAATAATGATAACATTCAATTATGTACATACGGTTTCGCGATTATAATACTGCAGTCGTCCGCGCCTCGTATACAGATATATACACATATTGTGCGTGTGCTACATAAGTTTCCACTTTCCAAGCTCTCGCGCGAGAGAGAAAGAGAGAGAGAGACTCAGCTCGCGCGAGACCGAGTAATAATGAGCAGGTCGACTTTTTGAAGAAATAAAATGGGGAAAAAGAAAAAAAAACGAAGCGAGAGAAGGAAGAAGAAGAAGTAAGGAGAGGAGGAGACGCGAGGCGCGTGTGTATAGAAAAGATGGGAGGAGAAGGTTGGCGCGTGGGACCGACACCCACGATATATCCTATATATATAACGTGCAGCCCGAGTCCCTTTCACGTGGCACACACACATACGAGTTTACAAGCCTTTTTGATACTTGCGAGGATCATCGGAAGACCAGGCAGTGGGAATCGAGGGAGAAAAATCCCGAGATGTGCATGCGCTTTTACTCGCGCCTCAATAATAACGCGCGTTATACTGCAGCGGCGAGCGGTAGCGTTTAGTATCGAGAGTGAGCAAAAAAAGAGAACACACTTCGCGTCGAGTTCGCACTTATGCGAGAGATCGACGAACTATAAATTGAACATTATCGCTCGAACCTTTAGCTCGATCGCTCGATGAAGTCATTCGCGGACGCGCGTCGTGTTTAATACGCTCTCCTGGAAGTGCACTTTTTACCGCGATCGCAACCATCGAGCTTCGATACGCACCAAACGCATCGAGATTTTCTTTATTCATAATTATTCGATAAAGGAAAGGAGAAAAAAGGTACACGTGGTTCGAATGCCGCGAAGATATTATTATGCATGTAAAGAAATATTATTTCTTTAAATAATTTAATCCTCGTTACAGCGAGGTGTAGAGTGGGGAGCTCTGCGTATAAATTGTAGAATACAGAGTATTGTATCATTAGTTATACGGTTGTAAGCAAGATCGGCAGTTAACTTTAAATGTCGTTTCTTGTGTTTATCTAGGTAAGAAAGTTTATATGGTAATATAATTGTAAATAGTGAATTTGTTAATAAATACTTGTGTTTATCTAGAAACCATTGAAGAATTGCCGATTTTAAGTTAATACCTTATATGCATATACGTACAAATATGACATTGCAACACGCTTGATTATGAATAACGACGAGTAAATAAGACAACTCGATGAATTATACGAGTCGCGCAAGCGGTGCAGATGTATGTATGTGTGTATACGGATCCTTTGTAGCGCAGCAGCTGCTGAAAAGCCAAAAACTTGCAAAAAAAAAAGGAAAAATCCGCATTGTCGCGCACGCGGCACACGCGCATAATAATGGCTCGGCAATGCAGCCCCAGCGTGCGCATGATTTATTCACTTTTGCGAGCATTATATATACGTGTACGTACGTACGTATGCGCTTCGCGATTCATTAGAAACTATAGCTTTAATGATTTATACTTCGAATTCGTATGTCGTTCATCGTATTTTGTGTTTACCTTCAGCGCAGCGGGATGATCTACGCACGCGTAAATAGCACTAACTCGTAAAGACATCGTAAACGCGACAATTATTAAATTAAAACTTTTTTTCGAAACGCGAATCGAAAGTAAGCCTGCGTAAGAAAGAGTCGAATTGTATAATATAAGTATATGAGCGAGAAGAGCAAACTCGCGCGGCGGAATATAACATCGATAATTCTTTAGTGCGTTAACGTAAAAACGAATGCAAACATCACGTGTGCATACACACGCTGCGTGCGTGCGTGTAGTGGTCGACGTAGTCGTTGCGGCTTATAATACAAGCTGTGTGTGCGCACTGCGCAGCGGCAGCATCGGTAAATCGCATTGGGATCGGCAACGCGTATACGTATATTTATGCAATACCATATCTCTTTCTCTCTTGCTCGGACGCGTATCGATCGCCAAAAGACATTATATGACTCGAATTTCCAGTTTTCATTGTGTCTCCTCGAGTGCGTATATGTACATATACGCGGCAGTCCTCTCTAAAGCATGTCTTACTTATTGCTCGACCTCGTCGTCGTTCTGCACCTCATACGATATGCCATTCGAGCTAACGCCTTTTCTTTTCTTTTCCCCTCCGCCTACCTCCGTCTCTCTCTCTCTCTCTCTCTCTCCTCCTTTTTTTTCGTTATTTTATTTTGTAAAGTGTGCGAGATCCATCCGATTCTAGATTACCCAGGCACACACGCACGCGCGCGCTGATACCTAATACGTTAGTGGGCGGCTGGTCTTTTACGTCTCTCTCTCTCACTTTCTTGGCCCTTGCACGAGAAACAACACGCTCTCGATGATTAGAATCTCTCGCAAGCTCGTTCCTTTTTCTCTCTCTCTCTCGCTCCGATCCCGATCGTGTGTGTGCGCGTGCAGCATTTTTATTGGCGCGATGATGCTCTCCTCTGCACGTGCGTGCGAGTAACCCAAATTTTTCGTTTCACGGTATTTCACGCGTAACGAAAAGACGCGTTCATATGTACGCGGTCCGCAAAGCTTTGATGATAATATAATGCTGCGAACTGGGTGCAGTTCACGTTTTTCGAAGACTCGAAGCTTTTTTGTTTTTATTGTTCCTTAACGAGCTTACCTTACGAAATTCTCGGTAGACGATTTCATGTATTGCGCGCGAGAACGATACCAGAAAAAAAGCCAAAAAGTTTTTTTTACCAATTGCGAGTCTTAATTATGATAAATCAGTCGTTGCCATCTGTGCTTTCTGCACGCAGCGCATCCCCTTTCTCTCGCTCCATACGCGAACACACATTATACGCGAACGAGATGAAAGATCACGCGGAGAGATGGACAAGCCTACATACGTGTATACACACGCATGATTAATGTATCTGATCGGCTCTCGAACTTTTATGTATTAATGTCTCTTTTTCGCGCTGCGCAGCCTTTTTATATATATCAGCATGTACTACACCGCGCGTGGAACTCTATACGCGAGCAGCAGCACTTCTTGCATTATATATACGCGAGAGTCTTTTATTTTTCGTTTTTACTTCAATTTTTTTTTCAACGTTATATGCTTTAACTCGTGCGGGGTTTGTTGTGATTGATCGGCGACTGTGCAGCAGCGACGTCGGCGATCGTCGTGTGGCTCTCGTCGATGGAAAATGTTTGTGCGCGCCCGCAAGAAGAGACAGAGCGAGAGAGAGAGAGGGCTTGGCGATGACAGCGTAAGATGTATGACTGGCTTAGGACGAGTTAATTTTATTGAAATTTTTTCCCCTTTTTTTTTGATGGGAAACTTCTTATGGAACGTTTGGCAGGGTAACAGGTCCGTCAAAAAATCGTAGAATAACATCTAATCTGTAAAATTCCTAAAATTTTCTAGCGTCTAATTAAAATTTTGGGCATTAAAGGATTAAAAGCCCCTAAAACCTGTGAGACGTTAATTGATTTTTTCGCGTTTTTAAATGTCCTCGGATTTTTTGTGTCTGTCAAACAGGAAGATACTTTTTGTGTAGATGTTTCTCCGCACTTATCCCGCGTTAGTGTGAGCTAATTGTGCGCCTGAATGAATGACATTTTCATTATGATTTTGGTGTAGTTTTAATACGTCAGTGCTTACTCATCGTAGAACATAACTGCTAATGTTTAGTCGACGGTAGGGGGAAAAGTGTCGCCAAGGAGCTATCACAATCGGGGGACCACCTTGCTAATATTACAAGTAGTACGCTCAGTCGCTATTAATGAGTTCCTACGGTAAGCAAGTGTTTACGAATGATATTCGTAAAAGTATATAAGTGAAAGTAAGGACCGCTGTTGGCAACTCAAGAGATCTAACTTTGATTGATTTCTCAGTGAATATCGTAAAAGTTCGCAGTAAATTACTACAACCAAGCGAGTGATGGAAAGTAGAAAGGATTCAGTAAGGTATACAATTTTTTATGCATGCCAAAGATATTTTTTTAAACAATCGCTTCTCTATAGTGTTAAAGAGGAGCCGTTTGATAATTGGACAGATGTAGGCAACGATTATGCTGATCCAATGGACTCGTGCAAAGCCGAAAACTTTAAAGAATCATCGTTCGATGAATTATCGGTGAGTTCTATTTTTTGAATTCTGTTCAGATTTCTACTATCAAAAACTATAGCAACATTTCACTTTCAGGCAAATCACACGTATAAACCAGTGGCGTTGCAGGAAAGGTCAGATAAAAAAATACTTGTAGATTTCGTGAGCGATGATGTAAAACCTGAACTCAAGTCTTCATCTGCATCCATCTGCCAAACTGAATATCAAAGTTTTCAACCTATTGTGAAATTCGAAAACGAGATTCAGACCTATGACATCAATGACGATATATACAGCGATTTTGAGTGCAGGGATGTTAAACCTGAACTAAAGTCATCATCTAAATTGATCTGCAAAACTGAGTATCAAATTTGTCAACCTATTGTGAAATTAGAAAACGAAACTCAGACCCATAACAACAATGACGATATATACATCGATTTTGAGTGCAGGGATGTTAAATCTGAACTAAAGCCCTCATTGGCAACCACCTGTCAACCCACTGTAAAGATAGAAAATCAAAATCGGGCAAATAATTTGAAGAGAAAAAGACTGATAGTTTTGATAAACAAAGAATACGATTACGATAATAACTGTCGATTCCAAAAAAAATTTCGATTGAAGAAGCATAATGAATCGAAAATAAGAGAATCGAGTCTAAAAACACACCTCAGCACGACACAAAAAAACAGTAGATCATATGAATGTGAACTCTGTCATAAGTCACTTAGGTGCAAGCGTGCTCTAAATAACCACATAAATGCCGTACATAATCGCAGCAAACCTTTCGAGTGTGAGATTTGTCACAAATTATTTGGACAAAACGGCAACCTCAAAACTCACATTAATGCAGTACACGTTCTGAGCAAACCCTTTGAATGTTATATTTGTCACAAATCATTTGGATATAAAGCATACCTCAAAACTCACATTAATGCAGTACATAATCGGAGCAAACCCTTCGAATGTGAGACTTGTCATAAATCATTTGGAAAAAAAGTAGCCTTAAAACTCACTTGAATACAATACACGATCGAAGCAAACCCTTTGAATGTGAGATTTGTCACAAATCATTTGGAACTAAAAGTAATCTCAACAAACACATAAATACAGTACATAATTGTATCAAACCCTTTGAATGTGACATTTGTCACAAATCATTTGGACAAAAAATTCACTTGATATCTCATAAAAATGCAGTACATGGTCATAGCAAACCCTTCGAATGTAGCATATGTCACAAATCATTTGGACATAAAAATACTCTCAATACTCATATAAATGCAGTACATAATCTAATCAAACCCTTTGAATGTGACATTTGTCACAAATCATTTGGATACAAGAGTCATTGCAAGAAGCACATAATGACGGTACATAATGGAGGCCGATCTTAAGAGTGTGATTCGAAGACATTTGAACCCGAAGAAGACTTTTGCGATCAAACGTGTTTTACGCTACGTAATTTTTGACAATGTTTCTCATAAACAATAAAGCATTTTAAATTGTAATTAATTTGGTCGTAACTGGGAAAACCTATTGCTCACCTTTCAAACATAAACTCAAATATCAACACTGTTTCGTCGTCAATTCGTTCTTTGAAATACCGTTGTTGAAACAAACTTTCAACATCCCATTTATCAACTGAACTTTTTTTCAAGTTATTGCTCCTTATTGGTAGGTTAATAAAAAATCCTTTCCTCGTAACTAGAAGTCTTCTGATTCCTCATACCGACCTTCCACATTTGATCCAATGTACACAAAGATTTAATAGTTGCAACAGTGCGATTTAAAAGGTTGAATATTGATCTCAATTTTTCGAAATAATTACACTTCTAATAGCTGTTCTTAATCAGTTATTTATTTATTCAAAAATGAAATACATTTTCGTTGGTAAATGTAAGGATTTATATTCCAGAATTTGATATGTATCGTAATCAAAGGTATCAAAAATTCAATTTGTAGCTTTTGCATTGCATCAACAGATGGAGCATTATAAATTCGCAAGTGGTAAAAAAATTTCCAATTAGTGTATATATAGAAACAATAGTGTGTGATTGATAAACATAAGAACTTTATATATTTCCGAGAATTTTATAAAGAGGGAAAACGAAGCAACACTTGTTATTTAATCGGTTACATGGTGAGAAACAATCGGCCGTTATAACAGCTCTTTGTGGATTTGTACGTATGAATATTCATGCGATAATTGTTGTCTCGAAAAATATCATCCACTCATATTATACACTACAAAGACGATCCGGGTCGTGTACATACGTTATTATGTGGTATGAACGAGATCGCGGAATCGGATAGATTGAATACGCTGAGTATTATTCGGTACACTACGCATGTTGCGCCGCGCGCTCCTGAATTTCTTTCCGAGTCATGTCATATTTCGCTTCTAATACGTCTATTTCTACGAGACGTGTCACGGAGTCTGAATCAGATAAAGAATATAATATTCATATTCGCCGTTCGATAGTCTGCCGCCGCGCGAAACTCAATTTAGACGTCCACCTTATAACGTAGGCGCTGCGGTGAACACCTATATTGCGTTTTCACCTTTACCCGAAAAAAAGGCTTATTCCGGCTGCCGCACGATGTACTATGATTAAAGTTACGAAACCCAAACACCAAATACACAATCGTCGAATATTATTACGGCATTTTTATGCATAATATTATATAGCTGTATTTAATAAGAAGTGGGATCCGCGATCAGATGACGCGTGCGTTAATTTTTTATTTTCTATCCGAGAGAATTTCATTTGATTTTTAGTGCACACGAACGACAGACCGAGTGCAATCAAGAATTAATATCGCGAGCACTCAGTATTCTCATCAACTATGTAGATTATCATTTTAAAACGATAAATTTTGCACGTATAGAAATTTGACATTTTCGCAGACGAGATTCTGTTTGTCTTTTGTTGATTTTTTTTTTATTTTTTTTAGTTTGCATTAGACTCGAAGTATGACTTTATTCTAGGCAAACATCGATGCTACAAGTTTCATCGAATTAAGCACAGAAGCAACATTTTGCCTATAGCCATTCTCATCTCAAGAGTACATAAACGGCTTAAATTGTTTGTTTTATAATTAAGAGAATAAATTTTCATGCTGCCAGCGAATAAAAAAATTCGCATTTTTATAAATTCGTCGTTGGGTATATACTTGCATGTACGCGCATTAACCCGTTGAAAACATACTCGAGTCACTCGTATAGTAGTACGAGCACACGCATGACACACGAATGTGTATATAATATAAAAGCAACTTCTGCAGTTGTATACGCCGCGAATACAATCGGGGCCCGTAATACGTATAGCCTACCAGTTTTGCCACCCACGTTTCGCATACGTACACACGTCCGATCTTGTACGGCCTTTCATCCGTATTTTTTCGAGCTCGATTTTTTATCTGTTATTTTTAAACCTTTTTTTTTTTTGGTTGCGCACATGTATGCATGTGTGTGTGTATGTGTGAAGCGGCGGCGGGCTTGCAGGTAGGCAGGGACCGGCGTTGCCGTGCCGAAGATATGTTTAACTTTTTATTGTTGCATTACCTCGACTTGGCGGAATGCACACATACTTATGTACACTAAAAAATACGTAACTGTAACGTGTCTCTTAAAATTTTACGTTATCTTTCATTATTCGCGTTCGTGAAAAAAGACTGGAAATGAACTTTTCTGATGAAAAGCCTCCGGCGGAACGCATTTGGGTGTGTGAATTTCAACGAAAAATTTTAATTCGATCAACTTTTCAACGTAAGTGTCATGTTCAAATTAATGGTATTGTTGTGCAGCGCATTGATTCACCTCGAGATATTTCGATGTCAGTTAAACATTTTGTCGAAATCCAAAGGTAATAATTATATAAAATCGTACAAAGAAAGTCGAGCATGATTTCGAATGTCTTGAAGCTCAACGTTTTATAAGAAAAAAAAATTCTCGAACGATATTTTCACATCCTATGATAAATTTGATTTTGTAAATTACCTCGACAATTTATCAAGCGTTTCAATGTTGCGAAGAACGAGAAGTAGAGAGGATCCGCCCGAGTGAATTAAATAAAATCCCGTCGAGATGCTGCGTAATTCATTCCGTCGCATAATATTTATGTTATAATATACATCAAGTGCGCATAGCCTCCTACTTGGCGCCGTTGCACGTATCGTACGTTTTTCCTTTCTTCGACTTTGCCAAGTAAATTCGCAGCGACTGAATAGCGAATATGGCACTGTACCACCAATGTTATCTCGTATAAGATGTTCGTTAGTGCATCAACTGATAGGCAATGTCAAGGGCCAGTGTAGAAGAAACACATACGTACGCACACATATAGACACGCACTTTAGAACTGTACACAAATGTAACCGTCGCTGTTTCGAACGACTATTCTACGCATTGTTCAACACATTCACAGCATTGGTAATGTAATCGCATTTGCTGCATATCACATATGAATGTTTATACAAGCAGCTAAGAGCAGCAAAATCGCAGTATGACAGTTTTTTAGAACGGTGATCGAAAATTCGAACCTCAAATACAGCAGTGTGCGCTGTGGCCTGTGCATAGGAGTTAGCTCGGCAGATGGCGTAACTTCCCGGTGACTCCAGCCCTCGTCAAGTTGCTCTCGCCTCTCGTGCAGAAGGGAACTAAAAATCTAATCTGCCACTCGGAGTTATTGCTGCCATAGTTAACTTTTGTTGCATTTATTGTTATAATTGATATAGTGCTTTTCGTCAATGCCGTAAATGTGATTGTTTTTTGCTTCCATTTATCGAAACAACGGTTATTCAAGATAAAACGAAGGCTCAATTGTGAGTTCGAATTTTTGAACGTCGAAAACTAAAAAAAACCGTCTCTCCGTTGCTACCACTGTTGCGTTTAATGCAATGGCGTGCAACAGTGCCGTGAACGCATTTGAAATTAAATATCTTTTTTAACATTAATGCTTTCAGTAAATTATTAGTGACGGTTTGACTACAAAGTTGTAACAAATGCAAACCAAAGGATTTAGGATCCCGTTTTACTCTTTTATCACACACACAACTAATTAGAACAACGGCTACTCGAAGATGCGGCGAAGAATCGATATAGGTTTGAATTCTCGAGTATTGAAGGTTAACGGTCAGTCCGTCGCCACTCGCCGGCCGCCGCTACCGTTGCTGACTTTTTTGCATTTCAATAAAATTGCGCGTTATCATCAGTGCCGTGAACGTGGATAGGTTATTTTCACTGTGTAAAAAATGTGTTTTTTGAAATGATTATTGTTCTTTGAAATAATTTTATAATAATACTTCGTGTGAGGCTGCGACATTCTTTTTTTTTGGCCAGTCGCGACGATTAATCAAAGCAACAACGGTTATTTGAGATGCAAGAAAAGATTCACAGATTCGAATTCGCGAACGTTGAAAATTAACAAAACAGTCTCGCCCCCGCTGCTACTGTGGCGTTATAATAATATTCGTAATATAGTAGTCGTATAGGTATTATATTATCATCAGTGCCGTGAACGTGTTTGGGAATATTTTCACTGATTTCTAGCGATCAGTGACGGTTTGATTTTTAACGTTTAAACAAAAGCGATCGAGAGGTGTGCCGTTGCATTTTTGGTCAACGGCGACACTTCGTCAAAGCTACGCGTCACGACGGTTACAAAGCGGAGCAACGGCTTCGCAGTGGTACGACGGCTATTCAGAGAAGGATCGTAGCAATTCGAAATGGAGCTTCGAAATGTAACGTCTGTGCACTCTGTGCATCGACTGTCGTCGTGTAGTGTAAGGTAAGAATCATTTGTAACTTTGAAAATATCAACGTGATTAATGAACCCATTGATATCGGT